GTGACAAATACAAACAGCACGCTTGGGATAAGCTGGAAGACTGATACTCTGAATGTCTCGAAGATAAACGTAAAAGAGGCATTGTTATTAGAATAAGTGAAAATTGAAGGTAATGTGAAGAGGACTAAAGGTGCGATCCAAGCTTAAGCCAGGGATATTATTAATCGTTCCCTGTCATGAATACCGCGTATTTTAAAGACACCGTAATTGCAGGGAACCTGTCTCCAGTCAAGGCACATAAGCTTGAAGATGAAGAATATAAGAAGGTATGGCTGAGTTTGAACCATAACCCCGTGTGATCGATGGTTAACTCTCGGAAGAAGTTTGAAATGAAAAGAGGAGGAAAGTAGGTGAATCCAACGCACAAATCAGCCAATGCTAGCGACAGGACAAACCAGTTTGTTGTAAAATGCAATCTTGCCCTGGTGATTATCAAGTACATTACAAGTGCGTTTCCCAAAATGGCTACGACGGTGAAGAACCAACCGAGAATAAAAAACCACATCTTCAGCTTTAAAAATAGATTGACGTAAAAACATATATAAGACTCTATCGCTGTGGATTCCGCTTTGGGCCGGTGTTCAAACAAGGTCCGAAGTTTTGTTGTCAAATCGGTTAATATAAGGCGGCCTTCTGTTGTCAACTTTCTCAGGATTTCCGGGGTGTTAAAAACACAGATGTTGAAGTCTTTTTAACTGAAAAACGTTTGTGTTTCTTTTGGCTTGAATACGCTGTGGTGAGTAATAACAAGCCTGTGCAAGATTAGAGCGCATTACACATTTCTAACACGCGCCTGTTTAGGGCCTGTGGAGTTTCCAGATAATATTGAGAAGCGCGGAATAAATTGTATTTTTAATTTATTTATATGTTTTATGTCGCCAGCTGTTCTTTGGGGTAATTAGTTTTTCCGCTTAAAGGTGTCAATAATAGCCAATAGAAACTCCTAAGTTCTCAACTTGTTAGAGAAGTCCACGTTACAACGTGGCTGTTAGAACACAACACTCAAGGACCTGCTCTTTTGTTAGACTCCTTTTTTTTTAAGTCAATTTTTTGCCGTCAAATTGATCGCGGCGTAATAGGACAAGAGTATTATTCTGTTAAATGAAGGAAGCATTTTAATCAAGAGATCCGCATTTCTTAGTAGGTATTGCCAAGCGGTGGAAGGCTATGTCGTAGCTTGATTTTTAGAAATATCCTATCGTACTACGTCAGTGGTGTTATTCGCATTCTTTTACAAATAAAGTACAAATTAATGCAACAAAAATGAACATCCTTTAACCTGCTTGGACTTAAGAACCCATATTATATGGTTGGCTCCGTGAATTGGCAAGATGAACCAAATCCTGCACTATGATATGCTACCCGAGCAAGCAAGATGGCGCTATCTTGCCCTCTCGGGACTACCCGCTTTGTTCCGCAAGAAACATTTCCCCAAAAATCTTGTAATAAATCTCTTGCTGACCAGGCTTGATCCGTTCAAGATGGCTAGATGTTGGCCTCGTTCTTTTTTTGCGAGTTTATGGACCTGGACTCCGTGTCTGTCTGATAAAGACCGAAAAAATGCATTCGGTCAATATCCAGCCATCTTGCCCTAACGCTCGGTCGATAACCCATATATGTCATGTTTGACTATGTTGCTCACTATATTGTTTGTATTTTTCCTTGACGTGTTTCGTCAGACAAAATGACGTGTTGATCTCCGACTGATCTGTTATCTCCTGGATTATCTATGCTAATTTTCAATACAATGAAAACTGCAGGTTCTTTAGTTAGGGTTTTCATGATCTAGCGCTTTATTTACAATTGATTAACTAATGTCTACCCTAG